AGAAGAAATGAAGCACGCTGAGTATTCGATCGGTAATTACATTCGCAGGACAGAAATGAGACAGTCTGAAAGATGTCATACTGGAAAGTAGGATTACCATGGTTTATGGTTATGACGGATTAGACGCATAATTGGATTCAATGACCACTGATGGACAACGGCTATCACTGAGTGATAACCGCGAAACTGTACAAGGCTAATTGCCTTCCAAAAAGATGGTTAGATTATACTAATCATTTCTAATTACGAATGAATGAGAGAAGAACGGAGAAAGAGCTATGACCGATGCAGACTCTATGATTGTTGAATATCAATCGATCAAAAAAACTGAGTTGAACAGTCGTTGATCCTCGATCTAACATTTCGACCGAATTTGCGTTTGACCGAAATGTCGGATCAAGAACATTTCTTTTCCTTCACAGTGCCAATCATTGAATCAGAAGACATTAGCTTCGCTTCTGAGCACCGTTGATCAGAATGGCTATGAGTCTAAGAAGTCATTTCTGATTTGTTTCAAGCCGTCGAACTGTTCGACAGCGACGATGAACGAGTAACCTCGCAATTTTGCAACATAATGGCACAATATTATAGACATTTTAATTTACAAAGGTAAAAGGAAAATGTTATCAAGAAAAATCTTTATTCAAGAGTAGCGGAAGTAAGCCATACTGTAGGTTCAACCGCAGCCTCGATCAATAGTGACAATGAAAGAAAAAGCAAATTCACTGTCTACAGATAAAAGGCGTGTTCATTCATCAGCCTTTTAATGCATATTTTGTTAGAGACACCTGAATCAATGAAAAATTGCATGCTGAAACAACTAGGCCAGTTTGTTTTAATCAACGCTCTCAACTGTCGATCCGTCATTCAATAAATCAAATGTAGCTGAAACAACGAACACGGCGGCTTATTGTGTGTTTTGAAGGCCGCGCTTTTCAACCACTGCAATTAACATTAGGTTGAAAATTGTTTGGACGTATTAAACAGCATGATACAGGAAAAATATGAAATTCTGTAGTCAAACCTAATTCCAAGAGTCGACGGAAACTTGAACCTAAGAACACAGATGAACAAGTTCGCATGTATGCAAAGAAAGCATTTATCTATATACAGAGATGACACATGATGATATACAACATTGATAAAGTAAATAGCACCCGCAAGAGCGAACTTTTCAAGAGCGGTGTCCTCATTGACTTTGTCGAGTGAACATGAATCATCAAGCGCATCGAAGATTCATTAGATGCCTTTGTTCTACAGCAGAGCACGTGCAGTGGTTCTTCGCAGCCCTCATTATGAAACAGCAGGCGACAAAGGTTTTGTGTAGTTGATTTTCATAACGAACATCGATCTCCTCGTCAACATTACTAACTTCACTTGTGAGATAAACCGCTCAATGCCTTACCAGAGCTTATATAAATCCACTCCACTGTATGATAAAACTTGCTAATAACTAATTTTTGCCGGAAACCTTCACACTGACCTGCAAAAGATAAAACTGTAACTATTTAGGGTGCATTTCTAGCTACTTTACCTCCTCTTCAGTGGTTCTTTTAGCAAGATATTGC